TCAGTTTTGGCAGTACCTTGCAATGGATTATTTTTGTGCCAGTATAATAAAAACAGCATTGCTGTTTTCAAAGTCATATTTCGACTTTCAAAAAGCATACCTTCTTGAGATATTTGCATTGAGGTTTTTGTTTGTTTGTTTGTTTGTTTGTTTGTCTTGCCAGGAAAGCCAACTTCCATTTGGGAAGCAGTGACATCTTAACTGAGCTACGAATGTGGTTTGTAGGCCAAGGAAGCTACAATTGATACACACACATACACACACACACACACACACACACACAGGTGCCTTAAAGACTCCCAGCTGAGTGAAAAAGATGAATGCTACCATTTCCTTTATCTGTATTATTGGTAAACCAGGCAATTGATATCATCTCTAAAAACCATCTTCCTTAACTGCACTCCTAGTGGGATTCATTGGTATAATTAAGGCTTGAGTGGTCTGAAATATTTCAGGAACCTGCAGTGAACATTCTTTCCTTTATCTGAAAATGTAGCTTTATTTCATCCGAAATTGTTTTCTATAATTTCCCTCTCCACCCACAAATGACCTTCTTTTTATACTTATGGATCTACTCACTCACGAGCCAGTGAACTATACGTACACTTCACAGAAGCAAAAGAAACCGTATTGCTCATGCTGTCCCCGGCACTGAGGGGATACTGGTGGTGTTCTAAATGGGAAACTATTTACTTTTTATTACTAACGATTTTTAAGTAATTTCCACCATTTAAAGTGGGGCTAGAATGCCACTGGTAGCTGAAAGCTGGCAACATGATTTAATATTTTTAACACATGATCTGGTATTTGTTACGGTGCTTCAATTTCTCACTGTCATTACTCATGTTACAGTATTATCAATAATGGCAAGTTAAGCTAAATCAGTGGCAAGCTAGTTTTATACCACAATTTCTTTTATGTTTGACCCCTAGATTGACCATTATTTTATAGGAGTCTTCTCAACCCTCCCTTTTTCTTCTAGCTAATGTAAAATAACATTTTTTCCCCTCTTCTTTGTCATTTACGAGGATGTTTATTTTACTGTTTCTAACATTCAAGGGTCTTTCTTGTATTTCTTTGTATTCTGTTCGGTAGAGCAGAAAATCTGTCTCAGTTTCAATTTCTCTTTTGTTCCCAGAACTTCCCCCCTCCTCCAATGCTGAAGTGGAAAAATAATTTCCCCTCTTGCACCATACACAGGTTCAAAGTCCTGCTTTACACCATGATGCTCCAAACGGCAATTTTTCTAACCCACAAGAAAAAAACAAAAACAAAAACAAAACAAAAAAACACCACCCAAGTTCCAACTTGGAAGTCTACAAGGGCCTGAGAACAATTGGAAGTAAATTCCTACAACGGGGATTAGCTCGTAGCGGTTCATTGGACATTCTGAGAGGTGCCTGGAAGCCAGCTAGGGCACCAACCTGCCAGCAGACACATAGGTGGCCCAGCTCAGAAGTCAGGGTCTGTTGTCATGGAGAATGAAAGGCAAATTGAAGACATTAAAAGGCAAGTAGCAAACAATCCAGTAGGCTAAGCCAGGGATTTGGGAGCCTCCCAGGGTTCCTCCCTTCCTCATTCCCTGCATGAGTCATTTTTCCAGTCTGTCCACACCCATTCACCCTTCTTCTAGGGGCCGCCACCCCACACTCCCATTCACCCTCAAGCTGCTGCCTCAGGATCTTTCTGAAATACAAGTCCAAACTCTCCCTATTCCCTTGCTGTGTAAACTCTTGCAGTGGAGCATGGTTTTCAGAGCAAAGCTGAGGCTCCTCTGATGAAAGCAAACCTCCTTGGAGCTCATCTCCTGCCACTCCCCTACACTAACTTTCCCTCACTTCTAACAGGAAAGCTGGGGAGTGGGGGTGGGGGGACGTGGTATTTGCCATGTTCTTTTCTTCACTTGACCGGACTCGGCTCCCTTTCCATCTCATTATTAGCTCCACACCTTTTCAGGCACCTGCGGGGTAGCTGGGTGATGGGCACAGAGGAGGGCACTTGATGGGATGAGCACTGGTTGTTAGACTATGTGTTGGCAAATGGAACCTCAATTAAAAACCTCCTCCAAGGAAGCCTTCCCTAACCCTCCTCAGGCCGCCCTCTGGCTGGCCTACAACCATTTTAGCATTTATCCCTCAGGCAGAATTAATTAGTTCGTCTCTTCCCTAGTAGCAGAAGTAGTTGTCCTTGAGGGTAGGGATCGTGTTTATCCATTTCTGACGGGGCAGGCATTGGATGTAGTTGTTGAAATGAATGCTGAAGGCAAAAAAAGGAATTCCTCATAGCTGCTGATTGGCAGATAGAGAGTGCCCATTCCTGTCCTCCGAGAAGGTGTCCGTGTCCTTTTAATTTGCTTCAACCGTGTGGCCACTTGGGTACCTTTTAATAACACTGAGAAGTAGGACCATTTAATTAACGCATTTGTTGTGGAAGGGAGCAACGCACGATAGGAACTGTTTTGCGGATCTAGCCAAGGGTGAGAGCTCAAGTGTGTTGTTAAAGCCTCTGGACGTATTTCTGAACTTTAGCACCTTCCGTGATGTTTTCCCTTTTCCTCCTAAAGCCGGCCCCACCCTCCTTAACACAACTCAACAGTTGTAGGGCGCGAACGCGGCACCCTATCTACCGCTGCATTCCGAGGTGTGCCCAAATCATGGAGCCAGTGTTTTCAATTAGAACCGTCCTTGCACAAGTCATCAGAAGTCTCTTAGGTTCAAAGGAAATTCTGCCCCCAAATCTCCAAAACATGATCACATCACATTAGTACAGAATTCTTTCCATTCAAAGTGAAGCCAAGTTGCATGTTCTAACACCCAGTGAATTACGATTTGGGGCCGCGGTTCTTTCTGCTCCAACAATAATAGGACTTATTTGCCTTGGACTATTCCTGTATTTGCAAAAAAAAAAAAAAAAAAGGCATTTCTTTTTTTTTCTTTGCTTTTTTTCTCTTTTCTTTTCTTTTCTTCTTTTCTTATAAGGGTCCCTTCTTTTCTTTTCTTTTTTTATAAGGGTCCCTACTTTCCGTAGACCGTGACATGCGGAGTTGGGGAAGCAGGGGGATTTTTACAATATTACTGGCAAGCCAGACTGGAAGGCGGGATGGGAGTCTTCATGCCTGTGTGGCAATCCGTCTTGCTAAGGAACCGCAGGACTTGCGGGCACCCTGTGAACTTGACCCGAGAGGCACCCCGGGGGGCGGGGGTCCTGCGGGCCAGCCGGGCTCAAAAGCCATGCGGCGCATCTCCAGGCGGCAGCCCCATCAGAGGCTCGGCGTTTTATTTGCAGATCTGACTCTCACCTTCAACCTAACCTTGCCGGCTTCCCCACAAAAGCCCCATGCACCGGCCTCGTGAATAAAAAAAAAAGACCCCCCCAAAAAAAGGACCAAAAAGGACCTAGCTAGCTAGGTGTGCGCCCGGCTGGCGGGAAGGTGCCCAAGGCGGCAGGGGTGTGCGCCGTCTACGCTAGGGCCCCGCCGTCCGCCCTTGGGCCGCGCCGTCCGCTGGCCCCGTCTAGGGCCCCCCGGTCCGCCCTAGAGCCCCTTGGTCCACCCTAGGATCTCTCGGTCTGCACTAGAGCCCCCCGGTACGCGCTAGAGCCCTCGCCGCGCTAGAGCTCCCCCATCTGTGCTAGGGCCTCTCGGTCTGCGCTAGAGCCCCCCCCCGTCCGTCCTAGAGCCCCCTGGTCCGCCCTAGAGCCCCTCGGTCTGAGCTAGGGCCCCCCGGTCCGCGCCAGGGCCCCGCCGTCCACCCTAGAGCCCCGCCGTCCTTGCTAGGGCCCCCCGGTCCGCACTAGAGCCCCCCCCCTAGGCCCCCTCCCGTCGCCTAGGCCCTCCCCGGTCCGTCCTAGAGCCCCTCGGTCCGCCCTAGGGCCCCCCCGGTCCGCGCTAGAGCCCCCCCGTCCGTCCTAGAGCCCCTCGTCCGCCCTAGAGCCCCTCCCGGTCCGCCCTAGAGCCCCCCGTCCCCTAGCCCCTCCCGTCCCTAGAACCCCCCCCCCCGTCCGCCCTAGAGCCCCTCGGTCCGCCCTAGAGCCCTCCTCCCGTCCGCCCTAGAGCCCCCTCCCCGGTCTGCCCTAGAACCCCCCCCCGTCCGCCCTAGAGCCCCTCGTCGCCCTAGAGCCCCCCGTCCGCCCTAGAGCCCCCTCCCCGGTCTGCCCTAGAACCCCCCCCCGTCCGCCCTAGAGCCCCCTCCCCGGTCTGCCCTAGAACCCCCCCCGTCCGCCCTAGAGCCCCCTCCCCGGTCTGCCCTAGAACCCCCCCCCCCGTCCGCCCTAGAGCCCCCTCCCGGTCCGCCCTAGAGCCCCTCGGTCCGCCCTAGAGCCCCCTCCCCGGTCTGCCCTAGAACCCCCCCTCCGTCCGCCCTAGAGCCCCCTCCCCGGTCTGCCCTAGAACCCCCCCCCGTCCGCCCTAGAGCCCCCTCCCCGGTCTGCCCTAGAACCCCCCCCCGTCCGCCCTAGAGCCCCCTCCCCGGTCTGTCCTAGAACCCCCCCCCCCGTCCGCCCTAGAGCCCCCTCCCCGGTCTGCCCTAGAACCCCCCCGTCCGCCCTAGAGCCCCCTCCCCGGTCTGCCCTAGAACCCCCCCCCGTCCGCCCTAGAGCCCCCTCCCCGGTCTGCCCTAGAACCCCCCCGTCCGCCCTAGAGCCCCCTCCCCGGTCTGCCCTAGAACACCCCCCCCGTCCGCCCTAGAGCCCCCGCCGTCCGCCTTAGAGCCCCCTTCCCGGTCCGCCCTAGGGCCCCCCGGTCCGCCCTGGAGCCCCCCGGTCCGCGCCAGGGCCCCGCCGTCCCCGTGCAGAACGTGCAGACGGACGATACCACCGGGGGGCCGCGGGGATGCGCCAGTGCAGCCGGCATCGCCCGCTCGGCGCAGCGACCACCCCCGCGGCCGGTGCTCGGGGGAGGGGGCGGCGGTGCGGCCGGGGGCCGGGAGGGCGGCGGCTGCTGGAGGAGCGGCGGGCTTTTTTTCCTTTTCTTTTTTTTTTTCTTTTTTTTTTTTTTTCCGCCGCCGCCGCCGCCGCCGCCGCCGCCGCCGCCGCGTGCGTCCGGGAGCCGGCGGTCCGCCCCGGGCTTCCTGGTGGGGCTGGGCCGGCGGGCGGGGGAGGGGCCGCGCAGCAGCGGCGGCGGAAGCCGGGCCCGGCGATAAGAGGCTGCTCGGCGACATGCAACAGTCTTTCCACTGCAGCTGAATGAGTCGGGGCGCTCACCATGCTCCCGTGACCTGGGGGCTGCCAAGTTCAATTTTAAGCCGCGGGCCTCTCGGAATCAGGACTCCCACAATGCCTTGGGCACCCGCTCGGCGGTCGGGCTGCCTCTGAAAAAAAAAAAAAATGTGAGAGGTAAGTTTGCCGTTTTGCACAGTTTCCGCGGCGCTGCCGCGCGGCTCGGCATTGTTTGGAGTCTTTCGGGGGCCGAAGGAGGAGGTGGGGGGAGGGGGGCTCGGAGTCCCCCTCCCCCTCCCCCTCCCGGGTGTGTGCGGGGGCAGCTGGCGGCGGCGGCGGCGGCGGCGGCGGCCGCGGCGGGTCCCTAACTCTGGGTCCCTAACTCGGGGCGGGCGGGGGCAGCTGCCGCCGGGCCCGGGGCCGCCCTTCCCCGGGCTCTGCGGCCGCTGTCAGCGCGCAGCCAGCTTCCAGTTTGGCAGCAGAGGCAGAAAGAAAAGAAAGAAAGAGAGATGGGCGGCGGGGGGTGGGAGGGGTGGGGGGACGGGGGCGGGGGGGGCATTGTGGGGGGGATGGAAGAAACAGGTGCGTGGAAGTGTACTCACAACTTAATGACCTTCGCCAGGGGAGGATGCGAGTCCCTGAGTCGCGAGCCCCGGTGTGCCCCGGCGGACCCCGCATCCCGGTCCCCGGGGGCTGCCATCGGGCCCGGTTCTCATCTGGGCCAAATATGTGCACGCAAAGGTTAATTCTCTGCCTGCTACCCATAAATTACGCATGACATGTTTAGCTGGGCTGCCTTATATGGAGAGGGCTGTATTTCAGCCCAGTTTGCCCTTTGCCAAGTTTACAGGGCGGAAGACGCCCTGCAGGAGAGGGCTCCTCTCTCTCTCTCTCTCTCTTTTTCCTTTTCTTTCTTTCTTTTTCTTTTTCTTCCCCCCCCCCATCGTTTGGTAGTGCGTCACCCAAAAACTGTAAGAAAAGTAAGTATAGACGCTCTCGGGGTGGAGCCGCAGTCGCTGGATGGAATCGCTTTCACCGGATGGTTCAAAAGAACCACAAGTAGTTAGGGCTCGGGTTCTGCTGTTTTAGACAAAAGCGGGACAAATATGTAGCCCCCCCCCACCCCCGCACTTTTTTTTTTTTTTTAAACGGAGCCGGAATCTGTTATTGGTAGTGATGTGTCATGTGAGAATACTTTGATGCCGGAGCCTGTAACACGAGCAGGTACACGGCGGAGCTCACGCTTGCCCCTCGCGCAGCGCTTCCCAGCCACAGGGGTGTTGCAAGCGCAGCAGAAGTGTTCTTAGGTGCCCCCCTCCCCGCCTCCACCCTGCGCACCCACCCCCGCGCAGTGGGGGGGGCACCTACGGCTGCTGCTGGGATTTGGCGGTGTGTTTCCGTGGAGTGTGCTTCCCTAGGATTAAGACGGAGTTAAGAAGCTGCCAGAAAGGTTACTGCACCCCCCTCCCCCCTCCCCCTGCACCTCCCACCCCTGGCTTTCCTCGGTGTGCCCGCGGGCACAGGCCCTCCTAAGCAAAGGGATGGTAAAGTGGGCCGCACTCGGAGGAATTTCTTAAACAAATTCATGCACCGAGACAGAGAAGTCCTGCTAATTAATGCCTTTGGATTTGCAGGCCCTGTGCGAGGCGCTTTGAAATCCGACACCAGCGCGCACACGGTGTTCCTCCCTCCTGGGTCCGCTCCTGCACCGAGGGGATTCAGGGCGTAGCGCGTCTCTAACCGCGCGAGGGACCCACTCCCTGGGACCTGTGTGGGTCCCCGAGAGCGGTTAGGTGTTTCCTCCCTGCCTTGCTGTTGAGATGAGCCAGTGCCACCCAGGCAGGTGAAAATGAAAGTTCAGCGACTGCGTGAGATTTCATCTTAGGAACGTTTAACTTCCAACGTCCTGGGTGTAGACCTAGAGCCAGGGGGGCTCTGAATCAAGTTATTTTTGCAGCCCGAGAAGCCACGTTGTTGTCGCTTGTATCTTTGCTTTCTTTAAAGTTGGTGACGACGACAGCTAGCTCCAAACTGTTTGTGTTTTTGGGAAACCCCTTCAGGGTTCTGATTTTCCTTTGCATGGGGGTGGGAGGGTGAATTCTTTTTTTTTTTTTTTTTTGGATTACTGTGTTAGTAGGCCATCTTTCAAAATGTACACATGGTTCTTAGTTTTATTTGTTTAATGGGGTGGGGGGAGTCTCCTCAGTGAGGGCTACAAAAGTTGCCTTTTGTGTTTTAGGGAACAGGTTGGGTCAGCAGCAGAAAACCTGTTCATCCATCCGTCTATAATTACAGTGTCACTTAAGACATAATAATCAGGCTTTATTATTACTGAGAGACTCAGGGAAGCTCTCATGTGCCTGGTTTAATTTTTCTTCCCATGTAACTAAGAACGAATTTGTGTGTCGATGCACATCGAGTGTGGTACTCTGTGCAGCCCTGCCGGTGGAGGAGAATCAATCCCGAGTGTTTTATGGTTCAAAATATTATTGCTTGTGTTTACATTTCCACATTTGAGGCAAACTTAGGCTCCAAGTTGAATTCATTAAATTTTGTTTCCAACATTCTGTTCCTTCCTCTGGGCACAGAATTCCTATGAAATGAAACATGGAGTCCTGTTCCAGATCAAGAAACAAATATCCCAAAGTTTCTCCTGGGGGAGGGGGGGTAGAGTAAAATCATATTTCTCATTGAATAAGGGTATGTTACTTTATTGTATACAATATCCTATTTTCATCATAGGGAACAAAAAAAAACTGCCCTTGCATTTATCACCATCGGGGGTCTTTAGGCCTGTGTTTGATCTATTTATGGAGGCTGGGAGAGAATAGTTGTGCTGTACCTTCTGCTTTTCTGCTTGATGATAAAGGATGCTCAGGTTAAAGAACATCCCAGATCTTGCTTAGAAGAAGCTGAAGAGACTATCTGGTCATGAGATTTCCTATACCCTTTAAGGAAAAGTCATTGGGGTGAGCAGTAGGTAGGAGGGTCAGAGGGGTGGAGGATAGGAAGTGAAATGTATTCACTTAAATGTTTGGCTTGATAGGAAATCCTAGCAGCAGCCCTGGTTATAGAGGATGTTACGTAGGAAGATTTTGAAGTGGTGGCCCTCTAGGCTAAGAAGCTTCCTTGGAAATCTAGAATGTGCCATCCAGGGCTGTGGCTACTAGCCATACGGGGCTGTTGAGCATTTGAAAGGTGGCTAGTTGGGATTGAGATGGGCTCTAAGTGTAAAAGACATTCTGGATTTGGAAAACTTGGTATGAAGGGAAGCATGTAAAAAAAATACCAGATTAATAGCTTTTCTGTGGATTATACGTTGCAGTGATAATATTTTGGACATATTGGTTTCAGTAGAATATACTGTTGGATTAATTTCCCCACGCTTATTTTTACTCTGTACAAATATGACTCCTAGAACACCTAAAATAACAAACGTGGCTTGTGTTACATTTCCATGGGATAGTGCTGTTCTAGAATAAAGCAGGGAAGCAGCATTCTGAGAGAAAGCCAGAAAGAGTTTGCCGGTGAAAATATAATAAAATCGACTTTTATTTTTACAAGCTAAAGAAGTTTATTGTACGTAGGCATACCTTGTCTTTCTTATCCATTGTAACCAAAATTTGAGAACACACACTACCTAACATCTATTTTTATTTCCTCAAAACTACTATTTAGTTTAGAGATTTAATGGTGAGGTAGTTGAAGGCTTGTAATTAGGGGATGAGTCTTAACACCTCTCAAAGGCCAGAATAGAGTATGATTGCTACTTAGGCACATTTTAGAGACACTATAGTTATCATTGTCCTGAAGTTACCAAACATAAACGAGTCACTAAAACTTATTTTAAAATGGAGTTCTCAGTAAATAGCAATTATCCTCAAATGCTTAATATGTATTTTCCTTTCCTATGACTTTCCTTCCTTAGAAAACAAAAAACAAGTAAATCCAAACCAGCTCCCGACCCCACGTTAATCGAAGATTAATAAATTTACACGGGCCAGATTTGCACTCGCAGGGTATAAGGCCTTGTTTTGAGTGTCACAGAAGGTAAAAATAGGATTCTGTGGTAATAGGGGCTTTGAAAGATTTCTATACACGGAGATATTGTCTTTATGATTTGAACACATTCTTGAGAAAGCATCTGACTAGCAAACAAAGCACAATGGCATAGGTCCTGGAAACATTCCCCTCAGATATTTTCATAACTGAAGTACATTTTGCCTTACACAGTGAGTGTGAAGCTGAAAAAAAAAAAGGCAGTTCTTTTCTACCCTTATAAAGCATGCTTACTTTTATTTCCTTGGAGGTTGCCAGAGATATAGGGCAGGGTGGATTTAGTGAGTTCTTTTTTTTTTTGGGGGGGGGAGGGCAGATTGTATAGAGAACCTTGCAAGAGGTGCCTCCTGCCGTCTGAGCCTGTCTCCCACTCTATGAGGCATAACTGCCATTAGTGTCAACGCATGTGTGGAGTGTGAGGGGAGCACTGATCCCCATTAACTTTGTGTATCATTTCTGATGAGTCATGGAGCATATTCACTAATGGTTGGAGGATTATTGATTGCAAAGCAGAGAATTCAAGAAGAACTATTGACATATGGCATTAAGTGTCTCTAGACATAGTTTATATTTTTAGATGAGATAGGGGTATTGATTTTTATTTAGTGTTTTTCATATTATGAAAATATATATTTATGTAAACACTACAGCTATATCCTTGAGAAAACACTTAGCAAATACATGGTTGAAGGTTTTTTTCTTTTTTTTACATATTACTATTAGTTTTTAATGACTCTAAGTGCATCTCTTGCAGATAATTATTCACATTTTTCGAGAGGCATCTTCACACACGTGTCTGACATCCATAAAAATGAGGAATCTTTAAGGCATTTACGTTACAGTATTAGACGTATGTCTTTGGCACTTCCCCCCTGTTTTTGAGATCTTACTCAGGTTTCTGTGATTATCCAGTGTTAAAACAGTTCAGGTTGTATTAATCTCAGGATGAAATGTAGCCATACTGGATAGGGTGAAGAATTCCCTTTGCACTGAGATCAACTCTTGTAAAAAGGTGAAGATGTTTCTGAAATAACTGTTATGCTTCCAGTAGTGGGTATGCTCCAGAGGAAAAACTGTCATCTCTTTGGACATTGTTTTCAGAAATCGAGAGTTACATTTTTTTATATACCCAAAGAGGTGAATAAGACTTGATAAGATAATACTCTCATGAAATGGGGACACAATTTTTATGTGAGTGTTTGTTGTGAAGGCCGCATGCTCCCTAGACAATGCTAATTTATTCAAATAATCTGGATGTTGAATAACATCAAATTGTTAAAAAGAACTGTGCTAAGTGTCATGTAATCTAGAGGCTAATGTCTGTGCAAATATCAACTCCATTCCAGTCCCTCTTAAGCTGATACTTCTACCCGCAAAGGATTTTTAAAAGAAACTTATGTTTAACACTGGGTTTTCTTTACATTTTTAATTTTTAATTTTATTTTATTTTATTTATTTATGATAGGCACACAGTGAGAGAGAGAGAGAGAGAGAGAGAGAGAGAGAGAGAGAGGCAGAGACACAGGCAGAGGGAGAAGCAGGCTCCATGCACCGGGAGCCCGACATGGGATTCGATCCCGGGTCTCCAGGATCGCGCCCTGGGCCAAAGGCAGGCGCTAAACCGCTGCGCCACCCAGGGATCCCCATTTTTCATTTTTAAAACCGTTTGGGAGCTATTAACTTAAGAATGAACTCGTTTAAAAAAAAAA